CTTATAAAAGGTTAATGGAAATACAATAAAGAAAACATTAACTTTTTTCTTTACCTTTTTCAGATTTGCAACTCTGACTTGGGGTAGAGGAATGCTAGAAATAGAATTGAGTCATAATACAAAGGATAACCTTTGTTGTACATAGCAAAACCAGACTAAATGTTTTATCTGCTCTAATTTTCACCTATTGTCTGTGTCCCACCTTATAATTTCTTATCATGTACTATGTCTTCTAAATGTTTCATTTATTAGCAGCAACAAAGTATAGCAGCAAAAGCACAGACTGTGAGAACAGTTCTAGATTAAATCCTAGTTCTCCCTGAACCTCATTTTCCAAATCTATAAAATGGGAGTTACAATGACCACCTCAAGGATTGCTTTGAGGTTTAATGAGATGACGTATCCTTACCACATACAGAATTTAGACTCAGTTATGACAGTGTTTTTCTGTTTAAGCATCTTTCGATCTTTTGCTTGTATTCCTGTTTTTTCATTAGAAGTAGAGGGCCCATAACTTCAGGGCATAAGGAAAAAAGAACACTTACCATTTTGTAGTGGTGACCAAGGTTCCTTTCCTTTTGAGTTTGCTCCACTTGTGTGAAAACTTATGCTTATTTTTATACTTTAAATGATTTTCTGTTAAATTACGTTGGGTAGAGTTTGCCATATTTTAGTTACTAATTAATGTTTTCAGACATTTCAGTTGTTCTGTAAAATCATCTGGGTTCATTTATTTTACCTTTATTTTCAGCCCTATCACTTATGCTTGGGAAGGTGGAAAATTGATATCAGAGAATGATGATTTTGAAGATATGGTGGTAACCAGAGAAGATTATGAAGAAAATGGACATAGTGTCTGTGAAGAGAAATTTGATATTTAAGAAACAATTCTGAGTGAAAGTCTTGACTGGTTATGACTGAAGGGTTTAATTTCAGTGTTCCTTTTAAAAGAGGTTAAGCAACTGTGTTACCTTTCATGCTAAGATAAAGCCTTGAGTTTATGTAAATCCTTTGATCCACTGCTAATTTTCAAAGGCTTCTTAGCTAGGTTATTACTGTAAAATGTAACTCAGCCCGTATTTTCAATTAGGAGCTAGACTACCATAACAGTGCTTATGCTGTTTCTGAGAGTAGGTTATTTTTTCATTAGAAGATGAAAGAGTGAATGCATTTTAGGTTTAATTCTTTATAGCTGAAAGCATAGACTTCACTGTCTCACTGGTCAGTTTTCCTTCGAAGGTCGTTTTGTGTGACCATAACCAGGAATTAGTTGAAGTGTTTTCAGGGGGAATTGATTTATCTCTCTCTCTTAGAACTAAGTATTTTATTTAAAAATTTTTATTTATATGTATTAAAGTTGGAAAGACTAATCTTGTGCGTGTGTAATGTTTATATTTTACTTAGACTAAGTTTGAAAGGATGGAGACTAAAGCGAATTTAATAAAGTGTTTTTTGTTAATACTGTATTGGCAGAAATGTATTATTTTGTTCATAAATAAGTAGTGTACTAGTTTTTAGCATGAAAAGAAATTTGAAGTTATCTCAGGGTTTTTCAAGAACTCTTGATACACATGTTAGTGTTTTGTTTTAATACTCTTTTATATGATCTACAGTAAACATATAGAGGTGTTAAAGGCTCCAGATTTCTAATTTAAAGAAAGAGCTGACAGCAACATCAATGAATAGATCAGGCAGGCTTTTTTAATTGCAAGCAATAGAAACTCATTTGGGCTACCTCCAGCAAAACAAACTTTTTCAGCAGGACAGAGGATAGCTCATAAAATCTAAGAAAAGGGAAGGAGAAAAGTCAGGGTAACTAGAGGAATCTAAGTTATAGGAATTTAGGGACAGTCTTTCTAGAGCCCTGCCATCAAAATATCTCAGCTCCTATATTTTCTGTCTTATGTTGTTGTGCTGCTGAATCAAATTCTTAGCAGTCTGTTCACCCTCACTGGGATCATGCATCTACCCCATGGCTTGAGGGGCTTTGACAGTCCTACTCAGATGGCCTAGAGTGAAAGAAGGTCGTTTCCCAAAGGAAAATTGAAGTGAAATGATGGATGCTGGGCAGAGTGAAAGAGTTTCCACCATAGTCATATTTGGATTGTGTTGGGTTAGGGCCTGGTCAGCCTTCCCTACACCTAGACAGAGTTGCAAAGTGACTTGTGTATGTTTGTATGATACCCAGTTACTAGCGTATAATTTGTGGACAGTGTAGGAAGAAGGTCTGGTGGCATAAAAAGTTTTTGCAACCAAATAGTATAAATAACTATGCTAGAATTTGAAGGTGATGTAGTTGGAGGTAAAAAGGTAAGTCTTCATCTAAAAGGCTTTCCTTGGCTTGTCAGGACCTCATCCTGGGCCAGCATACTATCATCACCAACCAGGGGTTTTTCCTTTGAGGGTCATTCCTCAAAGCTGCCTTTCCCAGCATGCCTCAGCCTGATACCTCCTATTATATTCTGCTGAGAATGTTGTGTGTATGTGTGTGTGTGTGTGTGTGTGTGTGTGTGTGTGTTTTCACATGCTTATGATAGTAAACTAGTTTCTATACAGTTTAGCTCTGATAGTGCTCATTTTTGAGACACTACAAATTCATTTCTGAAATTAATGAACATAGACCCTAATCCTTTATCATTAGCATCAAAGTTTCCATCATTCCAACATCTAATTTTGAAATTTTACTGCTAAAGATAGATACTGTTTTAATATATTTGACTTCAAAGAGAACTTTTAACATCAGCTCTAAATAATAACATCTGAGGTGATA